ACTAGGCAGTGTCGGGACACGACGGGGCACAACCCTGTCATTTTTAAGCATGTCGAAAAGGCACTGCACCACATCTGTCCGGCTAAGCTTGGGTGGTGCGAGCTAACATCAGCTTGACCAGCGGTTGGTAATGCAGTAAAGGTCAGGCAGCAGTGTAAGCAAAAAATGTAATATACATGTGGAGTAAAACCACTGAAAATGAATACTTATACCAGTAATCCGAGCAAACTTGGTATTCCTGGTATGTTTCGAACCCTTCTGTTATTTTTTAGGTAAATCCGTGTGTATTGCATATTTGAATAAACAGCGGCGTGCATCAAGGTAGGTCGGTGCCATCATGCGTTTTTGCGCAGTTCTGTTTGCCTGCTTAGGAATTTCACTGAAATGTCTGTTTTCTAAGTTGCGAGATTCTTCGCTGAAAATTTCACGTGCCGGTACGTGAAAGCTGAATTTGGAACTATGGACGGAGAATATCCTCTTAAATTTCAGCCTTACAGCTTTCTGGCTTTCGAACCAGTGATTTACGCATCAAAACACTTACTTGGTCGTGCTCAAGACCTTCACATACTTGGGAGCTAAATTTGAGTGTTTGAGATAGCTGCACCGGCTGAAAACATTCTTCTGAAATTTCAGCCTCACGGCTGTTCTGGTTCCGGAGATTTCCCCACCGAAACTTTTGCTGGGCCGCACAAGAGACCAAGGCGTACATGAAAGCTGAATTGGATTCTGTAAGGATACTCCCAAAATTTCAGCTTCCTGTTTTTTATGGCTCTTGAGACAGTAAATTTCCCGCTGAAACTTTCACGGGAATGTAAACGAGACTCAGGCTTGACTAAAAACTGATTTTGAATTTATGGGGACGCGCATGGGCATGAAACATTCTCGTTAAATTCCAGCGTGTTGGCGCCCATGGTTTCCCGGATAATAATTTCTCGTCAAAACTTTCACGGGGCTGTACGTGATACCCAAGCTCATGGGAAAGCTAAATTTAAATTTTGTGGTCGCGCGTCGGTTTTAGCTTCCATGGTTCTCCAAAGAATAATTTCCCCCGCCAAATCTTTCACGGGGCCGTATATGTTGAATTTAAATTGGCTACGGGAAGGCTGAATTTAAATTTGCGGGGTCGCACGCAGACGAGGAATATTCTATCAAAATTTC